GAGACCGCCATCAGCCCCTCCAAGTCAATGACGAGACCGCCATCAGCCCCTCCAAGTCAATGATGAGACCGCCATCAGCCCCTCCAAGTCAATGACGAGACTGCTATCAGCCCCCCCAAGTCAATGACAGTGAGACCGCCATCAGCCCCTCCAAGTCAATGACAATGAGACCGCCATCAGACCCTCCTCATCAGACTCAGGACAGTGGCGGTCCAAGGGAAAATTACCACCAAGAATTCTAGACTCAACGACCAGTGGAACATGAGGGTGCAGTGGAGACACCTGAGACACGGCAGCACATGGAAGTTCACCTCACGTACACGGTGTCCGGGGGGAGCTCCTGAAGGACGTACGAATGGGGAACAAGAATGAGGAAGCCTCAGGAGAGCAAGGAATTAAGTCCCGGTGACAAGTACGCAGCATTAGAACAGAGCGGAAGGTGAGAAGGCGGGAAAGTGAGAAAATTGTGGAAACACGTTATTTTCTGGGCAACAAAAGGAAGAGGAATCTAAAAACTCCTCAAAAAATAAAAACAAACACAAGTACATTAAGGTCACAATATGAAACAAACAATGAGCACTTCGCAAGACATAAGATAAACCACCCTTGACCTTGTCTACACGCCCTTCAAATGGCTCGGGAGTCCTGCGCTCAGGAGTCACCACACAGGACATTAACCCAACACAAGCTGGCTCTCCAGGAAAGAATATTTGCATTGTTTTAACAATCTAAATACTCTTCTGTGGTTTTTTAATGTATAGACAGCTTGGAGGCTTCATCATTTCCACTCTGTTCTGTAGTCAACCTTGACAAGGGAGAAGGGCTAGACTTAGGGAAGCGAGATGAGCGCAGGAGGGGCGGAGGCAGGCGTCACAGCCTGGTCCGCTCTCTGCAGCAGGAAGTCAGAGGTTTCGGTGCATCACTCAACGCGAAGGAGAACAGAACAAACACACCCTCACGGCCTGGGAGGAGGGGAAGGCACGTGCCGTGAGTCCTGAGAGACTGAGTCCAGTGTGCAAACGATTTAAAGTGCTTTTCTCTGAGACCAAGGTGTCACCTTCGGGGGGAGGAGAGTGGGAAGCGGTCGGGGGGCCAGGGGGATGGTTCCTGGTAATGCTGTTTCTGGAACTGGGTACGGTTAGATAAGTAAAATTCATTGAGCTGGCCTTAGAATTCGTGGACTTTCTCTCTGCACGTTTTTCTTCAATAAAACGATAAATAAGCAGAAACTATAAGCACTGGCACCTCTGGAGGCTGCCGTCTGGGAGGCGGGGGGTCCCCGCAGTGTCGAGGCGGGGGGTCCCTGCCGTCTGGGAGGCGTGAGGTCCCCGCAGTGTAGGAGGCGGGGGGTCCCTGCCGTCTGGGAGGCGTGAGATCCACGTGGTCTGGGAGGCGTGAGGTCCCCGCAGTGTGGGAGGCGGGGGGTCCCTGCCGTCTGGGAGGCGTGAGGTCCCCGCAGTGTGGGAGGCGGGGGGTCCCTGCCGTCTGGGAGGCGTGAGGTCCCCGCAGTGTGGGAGGCGGGGGGTCCCTGCCGTCTGGGAGGTGTGAGATCCACGCGGTCTGGGAGACGTGAGGTCCCCGTGGTCTGGGAGGCATGAGATCCCTGCGGTCTGGGAGACGTGAGGTTCCGTGAGCCTGCCTGTGACACGGACACCCTGTGGGTTTGTCCCTCCCACCAAGGGGCAGAGGGCATGAAACAAAGCCCCACCACTGAACCACCTACAGCACGGGGCGCACTGGGAGTGGGGTTCCAGCAAAAAGAAAGGAGAGAATACCAGTATCTGACTGTCTCAGTCTTTTTGAAACTTCAATTCCATTCTCTTCTAGCTTCCTCTTTGCACAGTCCTGACATGCGTTACCTGAAAGAGGACAACTCTGTGTTAAAAGGGTTATCTGTCTAGGTAGGTTTTACATACCCTGTTCTCCGAGGACCCGTTATAATCTGATCCCACTGAAGCACTGGCCAATCCATCCCGCTGTACACTGCAGACACCATCTGTCCATCTATGAGGCCTCCTTTCACATGGGGACAGTAGAGAATCGACAAGCTGAGTGCAGCTGTGTTAGAATCCCTAACCCGAAACCATGCCAACACGTTGTCTCTAGGGGTCCGTGGGCCAGGCCGGCAGAGGACAGGCTGCACACACAGGCCTCTGCTCCACACCACAGCCCTTCTTAACCCACTGACCCAGCCGGTTGGGAAGCTGGTGCCAAGGCCCCCCACGGATGGCAGCACCCACGGGGCAGCGCCCCCAACGGGACGGCAGCACCCACAGAAGGCGCCACCCATGGACGGCAGCAGGGGCTCCCAACCTCAGCTGGCTCCAGGGGAGAGCCCAGCAAGGGGAGGGCGCACACTTCGAGCAAGTGTTAAACAGAAAAGCTGTGTGAAAGGTTACAGTCTTGCAGCTGAACTATCTGAAGGGGGTGGGTAATTCCGAGTCGCTGTACTTCACACTGAGTGGCATAATGCAAACAGACTCCTGTTCACTTCTGCCTGGTTCCACAACAGGAAGTCATCCTCAGGAGCCGGCAGGGGCCCAGGCTGGCCCAGCTCTGCTCCCAGCCCTTCACAGTGGCGGCGACCACAGTGGGGGCATGGCTACTGACCATCTCCGCTGCTGCTGCGTCTTTTAAGGCTAGTTATTTAATGTGAGAAACAGACTTTCATGATTTTACAAGTAGTGACAGAAGATAATAATGGAACAAACGTACAGGCAAAAAGCACGCGGGCAAAAACAAAGACAAGCCTTACCCAGAAATGTGGTGCTGTCCACACGGTCCGCATCTGAGACGAGAGAGAAACAGTGAGCGTGAGCGCGACTCCACCATACCCTCCCCACCCTGGCAGTGACGCGACGGAGCCCCGCCGCCTGGCTCGAGCCCCAATACCAGCCACGCTCGCTGTGTGCTCCTGCGACGCCCACCTCCCGGAGTGCCGGGGCCGGATGAGCCTGTGGACGTGGCACTGGGCCAGCCTGGCACAAAGTGAGCCTCCCCATGACCAAGAAAGGCATTCTGAGCCACAACATACGTGTCCTTAATGACACGGTCACAGACTGAAAGTCTGAGGGATCTGTCCAGCCCTGGTCAGCTGCCAGGGCCTCAGCAGGGCCAGGAGCCCACGCGGCCGCAGGCTGCAGAGCCCGAGCTCAGGTGAAGTTCAGGTGGAACTGGCAAAGTGAGAAGAACCGCTGCCTTCTCTCCACACATGCGCGCGGGCTGGACGAGGCCACACGGACTGCTGCGGCTGGTGGTCCAGGAGCCAGTCCCAGCGCCAATACGCCTGGACGCTAACTGTGCAGGTGGCCGGCCTCTGTGAGCCTGTCACACCGCCCACGCAGCAGCAGTGGAGACCGCTAGGGAAAACGAAGTGATGCCGAGGATGTGCGTGGCGCGCCACAGCTCAGCAAGCGTTAGTTCCCCTCAGGTCCCCACAGGAGGAACTGACAGCTGCCCTAGTTCGGCTTGTATCAATGGCAACGGAATTCAAGTCAGTCTCTTCTGCTAATTATCAATTCTAAAAAGAACTGGCTAGTAGCAAAAAAAAAAAAAAAAAAAAAAAAAGCAAGCTGGTGGATTATCTGTGCAGCCAGCCACCCGTGAGCTTAGCTTCCTCTCGTCGTCACAGTTCACAGCTGGCCGCACAGCCAAGCATGGGTGTGGCTAACCCGATTCTACTGTGTGTGTCTGGGGTTCCCATTACAGTTAAATGATAATCAATACAGACTTTCCCCAGTCTGCTGTCGTCAATGTTTTATGATGCCGAACACAAAGCCATTAACTGCCCTTTTGTCAAAACGACCAAGTTCAAGAATTTCAACTGTCTCAATCATTCCTGGCCTGTGAACTACTCCCCAAAAGCTCCAAAGACAATTACTCTCAAGGTGTGCTGTGTTCAGCAGAACAGGGAAAAAATGTTAGCTGAAAAAGACGCCAAAGTCCTGATAAAGTCATGCGCTTTTAAACCGTAACTTCCAGAAGGCAGTGGCGGGATGACGGTGAGAACGACCTGCACTTGGCAGCTTTTCTGTATCACAAGTGACAGAGCTGCTCGGTCACGTCCCTTCCTGGTCAAGGTCATCTGAAGCGTGGCCTAGGACCTGAAACGTGCTAAGGGTGTGCAACAAGACGCACAGCTGTGAACTTCAGAGCTATTTTAAACTTCTAGTCACAGAAGGTGACCATCACCCCATCACCCTGATGCACTGTTATTAAAGCACACAGAGGCACTTTTTAAAACAGTGGAAGATCGGTGAATTTTACGGTAGGTGAATAATATCTCAGGAAAACATTTACAATGGGCGAGAACCAGAAGCCCCTATCCACCTGTGCCCTGAGATGCAGAGAAGAAACCTCGTACCTGGGCTGCACTGTCGGCAGATCTGCATGGTGAGGTCCTGCACGTAGCCTGGAAAACAGTCAAAACAGTCCCCGTAGGATACGACTTTAATTCCGTGCAGAAGCATATCCGCTTGATGCTTAAAGAAATGGTCTTCATTCTCCTTGAGCACGACCATGTAGTGTTCTAAGTCCACCTTATTCGGCACAGAGTAAAGGAAGAGAGCCTGGAATATCTGATCACGCAGGGTCTCTCCACAGCCCACAAACAGAAAAGATCTGGTGCGGTACAGGTTCTGCAGGGCTTCCTGTGAAAAAGCCAAAGAATCCGGGTGCTCACTGGAAAGACAGCAAGGTCTGCGCCTAACCATAGAGCTACATATCTGTGCCTTTAATCACGGTTCTCTGGCCAGACTTCCCAAGAGCCACACAGAGAACAGCTGACACAGCTCTCCGATCAGCTGGGCTGGCCGTCTGCCACTCGGCCAGGACGGGGAGCGTCTTCCCACTGGGGCCAGTTAGCTGGGGCTGGCCTGTGCCCCAAATCAACATCCAGTGTAGACACAGCCATCATCACCGACCCCCACCCACCCTATCTTGTCAGGGCTATCGCCCACCTCAAATCTACCATTATGTGAACTGTTTAACTATCAAAACATAAATAAGGGCCTTTAGAATGCTTCAGCTCAGAACTGCGGTGCAAACAGCTGGCGGCTGCGTCTACCTCAGCGCGTCGTGTATGTGCACTCTGCAGGGGTCAGGCGGGGAGGGTTTGGGAGGGAGGGCGGGACAGCTGAGGAGAGGACCAGGGACAGAGACGCAGGGACGGGGCAAAGGGGAACCACAGACTGAGGGGTCACCGATGGCAGGGAGGGCGGGGCCGGGCAAACCACAGGGGCTCACCAGCACAGGCATCCAGGCCCCTCGGAGAGGCTCAGGCCAGCGCAGGGACCCCCACAACCAGCCGCCCGCGTGCACCATGCAAGACGAGCGTCGGCCCCGTCAGTCACTGCAGGCGCGCCTGGTGCCAGGGTCACCAACGAGTGACAGAGCCCTTGACCCTGAGCTCCCAGATGAACCAAGGAATTACTGAGTGCTGAAACGGAAGAGCACTGAGAAAGCCTCACAGAGAGAGAAGTGTTAAAACTGGGTTTTGAAAGCTAGACAGATGGTAAGCTAGGTACCAGAAGGAGGGGAGAGAGGCCCGGATGAGCTCAGAGAACAAACACTGAAGGTGTGTGTAAGGACTGACGAGCAGGGAGGAGGGACGGAGTCTGCCCGGAACAGGAGCTTCCCTGCGCCCCCGCAGGACTGGGGTTAGCTGAGCCTGGGAAGATCAGACCCATGCTCTTAAGGAGGCGGCACTCCTGACCGAGCGCTCACTCACTGCACATCTCCGGTCAGCGTGGCAGGCCCTGCAGACACAACGCGGAGGACAGGAGGCGTGGCCCTGCCCCCAGCAGCAGTGTGGAGAGCAGACAGAGGGCAGGGATGCCCAGACGTGGGGAACCCTTCAGACCACAGCCAAACGGCTACTGGGCACCACGCATTTCCAAGGTTAAGCAACGAATGCTTATCAGAGTGAGCCATACCATTACTTCGGGGTCTTGAGTCACATCTTTATACCCTGAGGGGTCCAGCACCATCCCACAAGGGTCTGTGTATAAGCCGTGGATGTGGAGGACGCCATATCTGATGTGGCCTCTTGCCCACTGGAGGACCTAGCAGACATGAAGCCAAGAAAAGGGAAAACCCTGCTGTTACTTAAAGCAGACACGAGAGGAAAACATCTACATTGGGTTCATGCTTTTCAACCCTACCTTGGAAAGACTAGATGTTTCCATTTATAATTACACCTTTAGGACCTAAGAGAAACAGCTATCCCTAGTGCTAGTTATTCCTGTCACAGCGGATCAAGACTTCTTTAGAGCGACAGTTGAGCAGAAAATACCTTCAACATCTGAGATTACAGCAAACTGTTAAAAGTAAGAGGATTATCAGGGACATCCACTTCTAACCCTCACGTTACATTTTAAATACTGCGATTTATGTAGTGGGTGGTTTGAACCCTCCAGCCGCTCCTCGGGAGAAAGATGTGGCAGTCTGCTTCCGTAAAGATTTACAGCCTTGGAGACCCTGTGGGGCAGTTCTCCTCTGTCCTGTAAGGACACCACGAGTCAGAACTGACTCGACGGCACTGGGTTTTTGGTTTTATTTACGTATTGTTTTTATAATTAGAAAAAATATATATGGAAAAAAGAATGTATCAAATGGCCAGTGGTATTCATTTCAGTTCAAGATACAGAGCAAAGGGCCTCAGGAAGATGCGACGGTGGCCAGGTAGTTCCATCTCACGGGGGAGCACGCATCAGCACAAGCACTGGCGCGAGACACCCACGGCTCACCAACCCGCGCGGCAGACGCTGGCTCGCATCAGCGTTACGCTCGATACATAGTTTCTCTCTGGAGACACTGTTCACAATGTCACGCAACCCTAAGCTTGCTCAGAAAGAAAGACTCTGAAATGTCGCTGGTGGCCCCGGACAGGGTGAAACTCCAGCCAGAACTACAGTTTCAAAGTGACTCCTTCCATAAAGTCTGTGCCCGTGTCCCCAGGCAGCCCTCACTCCCTCTACCATGAAGGTGAGTGCGGGGGATTCTGAGCTGATGCCTTGGCCCAGCCCTCCTAGTGTGGGGCCCTGAAAGAGACAACATCTCCACATGCTTCAGCTGTGCGCAGAGGGGACAAACACCTTCCCTCATGGGCTATGCTGGACAGCACAGGGAGCAGTATTAGTTACTAACAAACCTTTACACAAATCTACACAGGGAACAAACACTTCATCAAAAAAATACGAACAGAAAATCAGAGTGTGCTCAACCTTAACTCATAAAAAAAAATAAATAAAAATTGTAAATTTTCACCTAACAGATAGTCGAAATGTATTTTGTTGTTTTTTTAAATAACATCTTGTGTTGGCAAGGCAGAGGAAACAGGGATCCCCGTACCCAGCTGGTGGGAAGGTAACTGGTGAATCTTTCTGGAAAACAACTTGGTAATTTATATCAGCCTTTAAAATAGTCACACCCTTTGACCCCGACGCTCTTCTAGGAATTTATCCTGAAGAAGTAAACAGAGAAACGCCAAAGCACGAGGATTTTCACTGCGGCATTATCTGTAATAGTAAAAATATACTAACACAGGAAGAGCAACACCTGTATGTCAGTCTTACAATTATTTTGCCATTGAAATCATGCTTTTAAAACAGTTCGATGACAGGAAAATACAGTATAATATAAAAGGAAAAATTAGGGTAAGAATGCTATATATAATGCAATCCCTATTTGTTTTATCAACCAAAAATTAACACCAGTAAGACTGTGAAAGCTTTTGCTTTTCTTATTATTGTTATTGCCCGCATTTTCTACAATGAATACGGTGAGTAATGTGGGCAGAAAATCTTGCAGGCCTGCAGGACAGAATGCAAAACAACAACGAAGCCCACTGCTGTGGAGCTGACTCCGACTCCAGGAGAGCTCACGTGTTACAGAGCAGAACCATGCTCTGTAGGGCTTTCTTGGCTGTAATCTTCACGGAAGCAGACTGCCAGGCCTTTATTGCGAGGCGCCACTGGGTGGGTTCAAACCACCAACCTTTAGGTTCATAGTTGAGCACAAACTGTTTGTGCCACCTGCGGACCCGAAAGAAAGCAAGAGAAGGTAGTAGGAACCAGGCAATAAGAAAAGCCTAGAGAGACGAGGGCACCACTGCCCAGCTCCCAGTGGCCCTGAGGAGACAGGCGTCTGGTTTCACTGTGGAGGGCTGACAGGTAGCAACCTTCCATCGTGACAAAGTCCCTGCTGAAAGAAAGCCAGCCCCTTCTACATCCCAAGCGGCCCACACCTCTCGGCCCACAGCCCACGCCCCTAGGCCCGCAGCCTGCACCTTGCTCTTGTCCTTGAGGTCCAGCGACTCCATGGGCCTGCTCTGCTGCTGCCCGAAGATCTCGAGCAGGTTGTCGTAGTTGGTGGTCAGCACCATGGTGCCGCGCTCCATCAGGCTGAGGATGCACTGCAGCACCAGCGGGTTCTGGATGTGCTGCTCCAGGTTGTCGAAGATCTCCATGAGGCAGTCCTGGAAGAAGTTGGGCTTGGTGTCACCTGTGCGCTACGGAAAGGTGGAACCGAGTTACAAGGATGTCTTCTTTCAACAACTACCGCGCACCTAAGCAGGTGGTGTTCTGGGTGCTAGGGGCGACAGCTCCAGAGGAAGGAGACAGAGAACGGGCAAACAGGGATGACAGGCCAGAGAGGGACCACGGCTGTGGGAAGAGCAAAGCAAATACAGGGGGCAGGCAGGGCTGGGTGAGGGTGGCGGGGTCGGAGACACTCAGGGACGGCCTCTGACGTGAGGCCATCTGAGCAGAGACTGGAGGAAGTGAGGGGCTTCCAGACTGTGTGTTCTAAGCAGAGGCAGGCACCAGCACAAAGGCACTGAGGGGGCAGCCCCTGGACCGGGGGCCAGACAGGGACGGGAAGCAACAGGAAGTGAGGTCAGAGAGGGACCCGGAACCAGATCCTGGGCCTTGAAGGCCAGGGCTCAGGCCCCAACTTTCCTCGGAGAGCTGCAGCGGCACTGGCTTTCTCGTTCCTGGGGGCACATCAAAGGGTGTGTCTCCGTCAGTGCACCCCCAACAGATGAAAGACAGTACTGCAGAGACGGCTGACTGTCAGTGAGACGGCCCGCACACGAAGGCCGGGGGGCCTGGAGCGGCTCCGAGGGAAGAGGAAAGGAACTGGCCACAGACCTCTTCTGAAGAGTTTTGCTCTGAGGGGCTCAGGGCAATGGGGGCGGTAACAGAGGAGGACGTAGGGGTGGCAAGATCTCACGCACTCCCAGGAAGGCCTGGCCTCTGTCTGCTCCCGCGGGATGACCAGGGAGCCTGGGACACAGTCCCTGCAATACTCCCACCTAGCCCTCCCCGACCTGCCAGCCATCAGAACCCGCCCCACCATTGTGCCCTTTGTCCCTGTTTATGGTGGTCATCACAGAAGCCAGATTACCACTTGTCCCATGAGGCTCCAGGAACCCCCTTTCTTAACACCCTCCCACCCCACCCCCCAATTCCAAGCCCTTCCACTTCTCCCAGCAGAGCTCTGAGTCCATCATCAGCAGAATCCTCCACTCCACCCTCTTGTCTGGATACGCACCTTCTTCCTCATCTGAACCTGGCGCCCCGCTCCCCAAGCCTCCCAGGTGGAGGCTGCTCTCCATGCCCCTTGTGCCCCTGGGCCTGGAGACACGTAAGTTTCCACCTTGCCACTGCTACCGTCAGCCCATCGGCCTCCCTCCCCGACACCTGGCCGTCCTCCCTGCTGCAGAAACAAGAGACTCCTGGGTCTCACCCCTCGCTCCCTGGCAACTTCAGCTCCAGCTCACCATTCATTGCTTTCTCCAGCTGTCCTTCTGTCAGTTAGTAGGTTTCCACGTCCACTTGGACGATCCCTTCTGTGCCAGGGCCTCCAAAGTCCTCTACTACTCTCCCAGTGAGAGTGCCATCTTAGCCATCCCCGCCTACGGTCACACCCCAGATCTTATCCTCACCAAGAGCTCTGGTCCAGCCTCCCCATCTCCAATCACTCCTTCCTGTCAGCCCAACTCTCTAGCACCCCAGCTCTCATGAAAACTTCACCCCACCAAGACCTATGAGACCTTGACCCTACTGCCTTCTCGCTGTCCCTCACTGCCCTGACGTCCGTCCTCCCCTCTCCCACTAATCAGTGAGGTTCCATACTCCATTACTCTCTTGGATATGCATCCAACTTCCTTGCCCTTCTCTTGCTTTGTTGGAATTCTCTAGCAAAACTCCAACCCTGATCAACCCAACTCTCTACTTATTCCATACCTGTCCTCAAACTCCAGCCCTGATCAACCCAACTCTGCACGTAGCCACACCTGTCCTCAAAACCCCAGCCAATCAACCCAACTCTGCACGTA